AAGGGATCTTGGCAAGGTGACGAAGGACGCAAAACGACGTCACGGACATGAAACAAAACACAGTAACGCACACGAGGTCTCAACTCCCGCCATAGCCCCTCCACCCTGGCCGCCAACCTTATTCAACACCCATTCCCACCCCCCATCACACAGCCAACCTCACTCCCCTCCTCCCTACCTCCAGCCTCAGCCCCTCCCTCCATCACCCTTCCCACCTGCCTCCGGCGGCAACCTCAGTGCCGCATCCAATAGGGCCCTCTGGTACTCCGGTTCCCATGTGTATTTGGTGTATACGGGCCGTACGGCACCGTTACCCACGGGGGCCCTCAGTGGAGACATCTCCGCCACGGGGCCGGGGGATGGGACGGGGAGCAGGGCGCTGCCGGGGGCGGAGGGCAACGAGGCGCTGAGGCCGGGGGTGACGGGGCCGCCGGCGCCGCCGCCTGCGGCGGCGGCGGCGGCAGCTGCCGCGGCGGCGGCCGCGGCGGCGGCCGCAGCAGCAGATGATGCGTATGCTGCTGATGTGGAGCGACGTGAGAGCGCTGCACGAGGGAGGGAGGGCGGCGAGAAGGAGAGGAAGGAGGGGGGGGTCAGTTGAGTTCGATGTGTGGGAACATGGTACGTGACGTGGCGTGATGTGAAGCCACATGCAGGTGAAGCGCAAAAAGATGTGTGTCCTCCTCCTCCTCCTCCTCACCATCACCACCATCATCATCTGGTCGGGAGGGCAAGGGCAAGATGTGCCCCCCCACATCAGCCTGCCTGTCAGCAGTCCTGACCTCCAGCCGCAGCCGCCCCCGAGAAAGCTGCCAGGCCCAATCCACCCCCAGCCTACCATGCCGTACACCGCACCACGTCCATCCCAACACCGGTTCCACTCACGAATGGGCAACTCCGACCCGGGGGACTTGCTCCTGGAGGTCGCGGCGCCGCCGCCACTGCACACACCAGCACCAGCACATGGCAATCCAGGCAGCGCGCCGCGACGACTGGACACGGAGGTGCGCGTGGAGATGCCGGCGGGAGCGGCGGCGCCGCCGCCGCCAGCGGCGGCGGCGG